TTGTTTTGTATTTTACCTGTACTGTTCAGGTAAGCTTTCCACCAGATTTTATTCCAGAATGAATACAGATTTTACTGTAATATACTTATCTTTAGATGTAACTTGTTAGGTTAAGTCTCATCCAATGAATTTTCAATACAGTACAAACCATAACCTATTTTTTCAGCCAAAAATGGTATGAATTTCTAAGTAGCTAAAAGTATGCTACTTTTTCTAAAAATTTGAAATCTATCAAGATAACTAAGATATTCTAAACAACATTCACAAAGTATTTAATTCATTGGTATCAATCATGAAATATTTTGCATAAAAAGCAATTTGACGTCATCTTTATGTACTTCTTTAGATACATACCATATTTTTTCTGGCAATATATGTCAACGTCTGTCAATAACCCCACCCATATTTGTATATCTTTCACTTTTTTGTAGAATAACAAATACTTTTCTATTGTCTGGCAATAAACCCATCCCCTCACAGCTTCAGAAATTGTTTGTCGGCCCTTTGTCTTTTTTCATGGGATAAATACACAATGTGTCTTGATTATTAGATATTTTGTATATTTGGATAAAACTTATACAATGGAAACTCATTCATAGCATACTCTAATGTGTTTTACCCATGTCACAAAACACTCCATTTTATAACTGAACTAGAAAACCGAGTAAGTAATCAACTTTCAGTGACTTGTTTACCCCCTATGTGCTCTACAATAACGAAAAATTCCTTCTGAAGAAAACATGATCATAAAAACTAGTACCACACATTATCAACAAGGGTAGGGTGAAGATATAGGAGGAAGGACGAGTACATATATCACTAAAGCAATTTTTTATACTTTTCCTTATAAGTATAGTCTTATTCATAGTTTCTGAACTTAAAACCTCCATCTGGATCTACCTGATAGCTGGATAGTGGTCAGCTGCTGACCTGGGTACATAATGACCGAACCCCCCCTGATTTCAATACATGACCAGTGAACCATACAGATCCCATCCTTGGTAGTGTAAGGATATAAACTTATACAAAAACCCTAGGACACCTCATATCGAAGGTAGAAGACCGACTCTATTCATTCTCCACATTCCAACATAAGAAGGCTTGACATAAAAAAGGCCCGAGCCACTTCTTCTCTCTCCCCTGTGTACATTAACACTACAGCCGAGACCAGCTCCATTATACTGACAATAAAACCCACTGCAATCCTTCCACACAACTTCTACACAAGAAATTTATATGCTGTGAAAATCACAGTTATTTTACTGCCTCAACAAAATTGAACCTGGATGCATCTGTTTTCAAAGAGAACAGTTTTAAATGCGAAATTTAGGAAAGAAAATTTTGGGAGGATGTGCTCCTTGTACTAATATTGCATAGCCCAAAAATCAACACTGTAGACTGGATTTTGTAAAACAATGACGTTTTTTTTTCCAATTTAACTTCAGTTGAAATGTTTAATACGGATAAGATAGGCAAAACAAGACAATCCTTGTCTTCTGCATATTCTTCTTTAAACGATTAGAAGCAAATCATGCTGAAGATCAGGTATAAAAGATAAAGAATCGGCTAGATTAAAATCTACATGTTTACTTTAACAGAAAATAAAAGAGGAATTAACAGAGCTAAATAAATATGTAACATTTATATTCTAAACATCTTTGTTATAACTTCTTTTGAAATTTGAAAAAGTATAGTCATAAAAAGCTGAAAAAGACTGTCCTAAGGGTTTTTTTAAAGTGATAATTGTCAATCTGATTAAGTTTCAAACTCCTTCATTCATTAGTAACTCTAGCCATTAAAAATATGTAAAACTCCAAGCCCGTCTAGAAGTTCCCAGCATGTGTGGTCCCTTTACAAAAGCTGTCATTGTTGAATACCATGACCTGTAGCGATTGCTTTATCAATACAGCGATATAGCTGGAGCCAGTGTTCAGTCATAGCTCTGACTTTGACAATACACTGATCAGCGTCTATCACACACATGTCCACAGTCAGTTCTGTTCAATTATGCATAATAACCTTTTCAAAAAAAGTTTGTAGGTACATACAGAGATTGTACTTTGGTTGACAAGTTGTTCATGACAAAATGCTATTACTTTTTTTATTGTAGTTGTGAAACCTGCATAAAAAGACCACCCTTGCTGTTAAATTCTTTTCCTACCTGTACAAAAAGACCTCCTTAGACTTACTAACAGATTTTACCCTCCCTGCTTAAAAAGACCACACTATATCAAATTGCCATTGTACCTGTATAAATACACTTGATTATAAATACAACTTGTTTAGATCATTATTCTGATCACTGGCATGTTGAACTTTTCTTTAATGACAGTTTGCATATAACCACATTTTATCTCGGTCCTTCAACTGATAGTGACCCTGTCAACTGTGCCTCTCATTTACAATCATAATCAGAGATATATAGACGTTGACCAGAATTTCTGAGGCTGGTTGTCTGTTTCATTACTATATTGATGGAGAATTGTTTTAATATTATTGTTTTAATATCATCAAGAACCTGCCCGCAGTGGTCAAAATTTTTCAAGTCTATGCTGTTTTCAAGATCACAAAGTATTAAGTTAAACTATCTATTCATGAGTCTCAAGATTCATTAAAATTGAAAAAAAAAAAAAAAATCAGGTAAAAACTATTTCAGGTCAATCAAATGTCAAAATTTCAAAAATAAAATTTGCACATTAAAGGTTCATCTTTTCCTTTAGCTATTTCATTCTATTCTAAACCTCTAATCTGAATATTTTTTCAACTGTTCAGCACTTAAATATACAATCAAAAGTTTTGTTTACTTCATTCTCGACTTATTCTCAATTTATATGTGCAATAACCTAGTTTTAAAATACATATTTGTGTCAGTAAATGTTTGAATTTGAATCTAAAACACTTTGAATAAATTTACAACCCGATACACACGGCTTGAGTAAAACGATGTATTTACTCTTGCACTTTGGTTACCTTACAGGTTCCACAACATCTAACTCCTATTTTATAGGGTTACTGCATCTCCAGGCATAATAAAAACAAAATAAATATTTTAACAAAAATACCAGATGGTGTATATGTTATAAACTTTACATTCAAGAAACTGGGAGCATATGGGTATTTTATCTTGGATAACCTATCTCCAAGTTCTACACAAAACATTTCCCCAGCCTTTTCCCGTTTTTACGACCATCCTAGGAATCCTATGAATCAGTTCTGCATATAAAGGTGTGCGAATAAGGTGAGTTCACTATCCAGTAGTTAAAACAGTCCTCAGCATCTGCTGTATCATACACCTTTTAGTACCTGAGTTTTCTTGAGTAAAAAGAATGATTTTCACACAAAGGGGTTCACACAACTCAACCTTTCATGAAGGTGGATTGAGAAAAAAACATCCAACGGCGAACATAACACCAGAAGCTTAAAATGATATGTCAAATGCTAGTACATTCAGTGCAACCAGTCTGCATAAGATCTCATTTCAAATTCTTACAGCTCTATATCAGTAATTATTCCTTCCTTAAAATTAAAACACACAAAACACATTATAAAGGAACTGGATTTTTTTTCACAGTATATGAGCAAAATTCTCTTTCATTTACCAAGGTGAAATTCAACATGCCAATTATATTTTTTATAATCTATGCTATCTTTACCAAATCAATATTAGTAATCTAGAGACTATCTAATGCATAACACTGTACAGCCTTTTAACATAGTCAGCTGTGCAATTAAATATTTATCAAATGTTGGTTTCACCTGAGGGTTTGGTGCAAAGTTGAATTAATTTTGCATGTAATTCTAAATTTATTCACAATTGTGCTGGCCATGTGTTTATGTGAAAAAATCTTCTTCTGGCAAGGTAGAAGAAGAAAAAAATATGTAAAAATAGACAGATGTTTTAAGAATTTGAATTTAATTAAAACAATTTTTAAAAGTGTCAGATCTTATAAATTATTGTGCATGTATCTACTTAACATACATGTTTCTTATATATATTTGTGAAACTATTAAATCATCATATACATACTGTTATAATGTATTACATTGTTTATAAACTTTGTAATTGCAATTCCTAAATAAATTAAATAACAATGTATTTAAATATGTACGTCCATGTACATATTTTCATCTACAATGAATTGTACTTAACTCTTTTTCCCCACCAAATACTGGTTTTCTTCCCATATCTCCAACTTCCCCACTCAGTGGTCTGTTATAAATTCAATTGTGACTGGTACAAATGCTTTCAAGAAGCCGACGGTCAGGTAATGGGGCAGCCATATTTGATCCTCAATTCTTTACATTAATACTTTCCTTTTTAGCTATATACTCGTGTTTCATACAGTTCCTTTAGAAATAAACGTTGTAAAATTTAATTATCTAACATTTCAAACCTAGCAATCCCATTCATTCGACACACTACATAGCCTTTCTCCCCTCGACCTGAATTCGCTTGCATATCGGAACACGTAATCTCGTTAACCGTAGCGAAGAACAGTTATACATATATACTGGTTTCTCGGCTCGAGGGAGAATTTTGTTGTTTTGCAGTCAAACCTTCCACTTCAGAACACCGTATACATGTCATAAAAGTCTGTTAAAACCAAACCGCCAGTTTCTACCTCAAACTAGAACTCGACCGGTAGTCGACGCTATAATATATAGACTCGCCTACCATCTAAATATTTAGTTTATCGATCAGATTAAGGCTGACTAAACCTCAGAGTACAAAGGGCGCTAAATTCGACTTTCATTTGTCGACAATATTTTATTTAAACGAAGTTTCAACGAAACATACCATCGGGGAAGCAGTATTTGGTGAAATAATGAGCCACTGAACATTGCTTCCAAAAATAAACCCGGGACCACACACCGCCAATATTTCGTTTCTGGGTCACAAGATGGCGGACGCCTGATGATCAAATGGCACTTCAAAACATAGGGAGGGTTTTGTTACCCGATAAATAAGAAAATTCAGAAATGTATATTTAAAGGCTTACCTTCGACCCATAACTCCTCGATGTTAGTTTCTACTTTAGCCGTTTTCAAGCCAACACAACACAATGAGAGTAGCAATAATCCCACGAAAAGAACTTTTCCACAATGTAAGTCAATGAAACTGCCGATGGCAAACAAGTAATTCTGTAAGTGACATCGTAGCCACAAAGCACTTTTGTTGCCGTCTGCTTTTCCCTGTTAAATAAAACAAAAAACGACTTAATATTTACTTCGTGATCAAAACAACAAGAATATGTATAAAGAACACTAAGTTTATTATATATATATATACATGTACTGGCGTACCGGTTGTATGTAAATGGATTGTTTTTCCCGGGGCGACAGATGAGGAACGTGTCTGTAATTCTTAGGGACAAAACTGGGCAAGTTTTATCAATGAAATGTCTTTGCAAACGTGCACTTGTTGATATTCAGTGAAATATCATCAATCATCCCTCGGGTGAATGGTTCGACACAATGCTCAGATTTGGCGTGTCAGCCGACACACGGGATTGGGGCCAGGTTAAATATTCAATGTATTGTTGATCTTTTTGGGACTTGGGAGGTTTCTTTCAAAAATATCAAAACACTTTGTAAACATCTTAGACCAGATTTGCCTCCGTTGGGGGTACAGAGGCAGTATTGGGCTCTAGAAGGGTGACCCCTGAATATTTACCTCGTAGTTGATGTATATATATAGAGAGGCCCCGAAATTTGCATGGGGAGCGCGGAGCGATTCAATGTTTACAACAATTCTTCATCAAATCTTACCTTTTTAACTTGTCTATAAGCCTCTTCAGCATTTACCCAACTAGTCCTTGTAAACAATTCATCCTCAAGTTCTTTGTTGTTTCCCTTTCTCCGAACCGTCATCGTGGCTCCCTGTAACGATGGGGCAAAATAGATCACATTGGAGTACAGTCGAGGTCTAACGCTCTATCCCACGTGGTTAAACGTACAAATATAACAATTTCCAACAGGATCCGTAACACCATTATACATGTTTAACATGTTACATTCAAAATGCTTAATTAGTCCACATCTCCATTCTGAATTCGACATAGATTCAAGTATAAATCGTATCCCAACACATGAACCACTCATCCGATCTCTCGTCTTTTCCTAATGTTCTGGCTGTAACAGTTCAGTATTTGCATTGCGGCTCCGCCTCCAGGTCATGATTGACACGATAAGATCACCCATATCTTCACGCCGATTGGCTGAATTTAAATGGGACTGCTCAAATAACAGCAGCCCGACATTTGTTGCTTAGCAACTGGTTTGCCACAGAGAGAGGACCACCCAAGAAGTTGGAACCTCCACCACGGCAAATAAACAACATTCTTTGTATATGTCGTCGTGTACATAATTGTGGCCCGGTCTAGCTATTCGAGATGTCACAAGCTGATGCCATTGTCCCACCAAGAAAGTCTTACAGTTTTATGAAGTAAAAAGTTTTAATTCACTATCACACTAATCTTTAAGCAGAAAAATATATTAATTGCTACCCTATTTCGTTCTTTCCTAAAAAGCCGATAACAAACATTTATATTAATTTGATGTTGCATTTTATCTAAGTGCTACATGTATTTCCCTCCGAATATGAAAAATATAGCTTTCAGTGTGCATTAATTTGATAATACTCGGCAGACAATATGGAGTCTCCGTGTGCGGTCCCGCCGTATCGTAGTATTCATAGTGCACGGGAAAGCCCTGTTAGCTTGTAATGTGTATTGCAGTAGGACCTATCAAACCTCCCGCGGTAAAGTGATGTGATTTATGGATAAAGTATGAACGAACACAGAGCATCTGATTTCTTCATCACATGATGCATATTCCGTTCGGGAGATTTTCTCACAATTAAATTTTAAACAGTTCAAGAATCAGCAACAGCAGGTCTGTTTCTGTGCAAAGCTAACCATTCAACGTATCAATTCGAACAGATCCAGGTACATTTGTGATATATCTGTAATAAGTTTACTTATATGCACCAGGTTTTACCTGTCAAACTTCTGAATTGATCATTAGGAAACCACAATATATGATTGACTGAAGACTGTTTATAAATTATATGGTATTACAATACCACCTCTTGTCAAGGTTTAAAGACATTGACTTTTTAAAGAGAGAGACATGCGTTTACAGTTTTTAAAAAGGGACAAGATTAAATATGAAATAATTTATTTTAGACAATTTTATTTTAATTGATCCTATCACTCTCCCTATATTTATATGTCATGTTTACCGCATATAAGCCCACCCGGTAGGCAAGAATGCTTACATGTACTTGACCGGAGAGCGAAGGGTTGGTTCAACAGTTTCTTTATAATTTCGCCTTCCTGTATTCTAGATCAGATTAAAGCAGCGTTTCTTGCCAGCCCGACTCTACCGGCTTGATCTCATTATATTTGATTGAATAAAAAAAACAGCAAGATAAAAGTGAGGACTTGGTCTTGTGTAGATTATAATAATTTTGACAGTCGATCGAATCACAGAAACCGCGAAGAAAAACCAAGCCCAGACAAATGTTTAAAAATCATATTCATAAAAAATAGTAACTTCATTTAAGAAAAAAATTGTTTGCAAGACGGATTTGAGTAATTTTTTAGTTAGGATTTAAGCAAACTAACTAGAAAAAACACTAAGTGATTTAAAAATGCTTGTCATAAAAAGCAAATTTGAACAAAATGTATACGGACTACTTTTAATTACACATTTGTAGATCTCCCTAAGTGAGACAACTTGTGTGGAATATCTTTGCTGAAAATTTAATTCAATATATCTCCCGAGACAATAAAGGTCGATAACAAAACTGACCTATTACAGGTTTGAGATTTCATCAAACTCAATAAAAAATTTAATAAATTGTTTATATTATATTGAAATGGTTTACATCGATATTGTTTTAAATGTAATCTCTTGCCCCAGGCAGGTCTACTGGATACACTCATCAATGGTTCGCTTTAGACGACGGTATGGTATGACATTTCAGTGTCTTTTGTCATTAGTTTTTGTATGAATAAGCCACAGTTGTTGTGGAAGCCTTAAAAACACACACAAAAAGCAACAAAAAGAAGAGAAAAGAACGAAAAATGAAAACACACATACAAAAAATAGACGTAAATAGGCAACGAAATATGAAGTCACTAACATTTTCATAGCACACCATCAAAACGAGATCGAGTAAATCTTCAAAATTACGTAAAACAATCACAACTTAATGTTGCTGTTTTAAATTTCTGAGATGAACAAGTACAATTCTTGTTATTGTTCTGATAACCGTGAGAGAAATGGCTTAAATAGACGCACGTGATTAGAACAATATCTGTCATTGAAATTGACAGCGACACTTGGAATTACGACGTTAATGCGAATCCTGTCTCAACGTCATTCCTGTAGGGGTTTAAGGACGTTCTCCGTAACAACGGAAACAATTTACACGACTGAGGACATACGGCACTTTAACACGCCAGATAAAAACAACTACCATTTTCTTAATTTCAATCCGATACCCAAAGCTGCCCATCACCGTACGATTGTACCTGATAGAATACTGAAGCACTTTTGGTTTTTCTATTTTGTTTTTTAACTGCGTTTAATGGCATGTTATTGCTTCAAAACCAATGATGAAAGATCTTTTACTAGGGTCATTGAAATGTAAAAACAAAGAAATATAATTTGTATTGCTCTTCAAAGCCAACGATATCGCAATATGACGTCAAACAATGCACCCAATGAGGGATGATTTGCAAGTTATGGACAGTCAAGTTATACATCCAATTTTTTCTATAGGCTAACGTGTGTGTTCCTGCAATATTTCAGCACATATATTGAGAATCCGTCCATCGAATATTTGGATCTGACCGGTGGGTATTGTGTGTTGACATAACAATAGTAGTAATTATTTCATATTCCCAAATTAATAACATGATTCAATCATATTGCTATTTTTGTTGGGTCGTTAGTCATTCAATTGATTGACAATTAAGTTAAAAAAGATGTTAATCTTTAACACTAACGCGGAAAAAAACCCAGAAGCATTTAACTATTTAAATAGTTTTTAGAAAACAATGGCCATTGTTACAGATATGTTACAAATATAAAATCTAAATTTTATCATTATTGCCGTGTGGTAAAAACATATTTAATTGTCGTTTCAGTGAGATCATTGTGACAGCATACATTAGCATAGAGAAGTGACAGCAAAACATAACTTTGCCTTTAAAATTAAGTAGTTATTATGTGACTACAAAAAAGTATTCATTTAACGTCTGGATTATATTAATGTGGAGTAACAAACCAACAGGACAAATCGATGTTTAGATTGTAATGATTGCTGCAAATTTGTACCAAATCCTTTATTTGGAGTTACAACCATCAAGATAAAATCCTACTTTGATATTTGGAACAAAAACCCCATTTGTTCTGAGTTACAAATGTCATCGTTTGCTTCTTATAATCAGTACACGTCTTAAACAGAATCAATCCTCCAAATATTATCAGCACTTTGCCACGACCATACAACTGTAAAAGGTGCCTCAAAATTCGATAAATAATGAAAATATAATGTGAAAGCTTATGGCAATCTGAAAGAAAAGGGACAGAAAACGGGAAATAATAAGTTTCCCTCAACAGAAAACTTTCCAAAAACAAAGAAAACACCAACATATCAAAAATATTCATTATCCAAGCTCAAATCCAATACATCTACGGCGAAAAATAGAAACGAAACAGTGGTTCACACGGACGTCTACACCAAGATTCAAAATTTAGAACAAGATCACATATGAATTGTTTTTGGCTACCGAAATGATATTCAGTCCAGAACCGCTTTGAGAATGTAGCAAATATTCCACTAGTTTTTCTAACGAACCTATAGTTTCTTATCACAAACAAATGAAAAGAACTTGTCAGTAATTTCGGATCGAAAAAAATATGAGTCTACAGCGACAAAGAGAATATGTTTATCAAACAACATTGTTTCCACTGATATTAACAACTAACGCCAAATGAAAAGTTGTGGATCAGGAGCGATACCAGCCTTTACCACACACGCCGCCAACATACTACATGCAACTGGCGCTTTTGATTGCATTCTTCGTGTACTTTATGTTGTGTCCATTTAACGTGAATAACGAAAGCTACATTATCGTCGACAACAAGAAAAGCAGTTTAAAAGAATTCCGAACACGAGATAAAATCACAAACACCCTTAAAAGAGCTAGGAACAAGAATAGTTCTGAGATTGCGAAACACATTTGACACTTAATACTTGGATGGAATCGGGGTCACTGATCAAAGTTAATGGTGACCAAACAAAGGCGTTCGTTAGATAATCATTATTATGAGAATTAAATCCAAAAAAGAAAACTAACCCGCGGATACTTAAATTGTCTCAAACACCCATTAAACAGTGAGATCTGTCCGTTTTTCGTTCCTTTGGAAACAATATCCTTACTTTCATACGCGTGTTCAGAAAATTTCGAATGAAGTTTACATATATACATATTAAAGCTATAATAGAAAATATAATAATAGATGAGTATAAAGCCACTCAACGGTAAACAGTTCTGATAATCTGGGTTTTTTCTCACTCTCTGCAAACGCAAGTAAAGCTTCGAAGATGTTTTACGTGCCGTAAGTATTGGATTTGTTTTAAAATTCGGCACGAATTTAAACAAGAGTCTTGCAAAATAAGCCATTCCAAAGCGACACTTGTGAGATTACGTTAAGCTGACCCAGGATATACCTCCCAAGTTGGTAAACAGATGGAACGTTAACGTTCTCTAACAAAACCTTGTTTCTATCATTTATTTATCCTTTTAGAACTTGTATATACTTGCGTTCGTCACATCTAGACCACCATTGCTCAGTTCTGTGGGAGGTAGTTGTCAGCGATCGAGCGGGCGTAATTGAATACCCAGATCAAGTCAACAACGATTGAATTGATTGTATATTGACTTAATGTTTTAAAAGAAAGAAGGAAAAAATCCTCATTGATAATTCTATTCGGTAAGATGCTTTATCGAAATCGACTATCACCATTGTGTGTCAGATTTAAAATGCCATGATAAGTTA